GCTAAAACATATTTTTAAATGTGCTTTTCCATATATCAGAAAGTCCAATCCAAAGCTTTTGTAGATACAGTAAAGAGTCCATCAGCCAAGACCCAACAGATATCCAATAGGTGCCAAGGAAACCATCAAAGGGAGAAATTCTTCACCAACAACAACCACACGGTCCCTTACCAGATGGATTTGCCCCCCAAAAGAAAGGTCGATATGCGCTGTATGCTTCCTGAAAGCGACCACTGGACTAAATGTATTCCTTAAGGATCTTGATCTTCAGTATAAAGCTTATAACGGATACACCTAAATAAGTATTACCTCATAGAGGATAATCCAAGGTGGAAGGAAAAAGGAATCCTCATAGTGTAGTAAATACTAGACTTTTAATCGCCAAAACAGTATTATACGTACATAATAAAAATCAGCACGTCACCATATCCATAAACGACTTGTTTCCAACTATTAAGATGGCTGTCACGTTTCGGTGCGCATTGACGTCATACACTCTAGCTCCAACCAACGCGTTTCGTCATCAATGACATTGTCGGGGGCTTCACATTGAAGATCAAGATCCATAAGGAATACATTTAATCCAAAGTAATCTTCCCCTTAGTACACGTTCACCTCCTGGCATTGACCTGAGTGACAGGTCAGAAAACACTCAGATCCATATCCAAAATTCCTCCACATGTCAGGGCTGATGGAATTCCACTCCAACCAATGTCCATCTTGGGGGTATACTCAGAAAGAAAGAAGAAGGTGGCTTCTCATAGTGCAAGCAATTTTATTACATAACTTGTATTATAGCATAAAAACCGTATTCGCATATATCAGAAGGGTAAAACCCTCTTACAGCATATCAAACCCTCTTACAACATATCAAACAGGGAATATCAAAGATGGCGGTAGCTGTCGCTGCACCGGAAATGACTCGCCACAGTGAGTCTTCAGAGATGTGGACAGGAACACCACCACAGCTCTGGTCTGGATAACTCCACAAGGAATCTCCCAAAAACTACTCCGAAAACATGATCCTAAAGTCAAGAGTACTGTGCTCATTGGAACACAGAGGGACTGTCAGTGCTGAAGGCAAAGGGAACATCGGTAAACCTACTAAACTGTGCGTAAACAGCAGCAACTGCCAGATTTGCACTCCATCCAAATCAATGGCTGGTGCACCTGCTGTTCACATGCAACCACCTATCTGAGCAATTACATGAGAATGGAGCCTGCAACCGTCTAAGGAGGAAAGCAGTGTGGATCCAAGGATGCCATTTCTGCAGAGTTTCTGGCCACAAGCAAATTGGCTGTAGCCAATTGGCCAGTTTGTATGCCGTCATACCACAGAGTGCAGCTGTGTCCAGAGGTGACCTTTAGTCACCTCTGAAGGCAGCAAACTGTCCACCCCAATTGCATGTGTGAATGCAGTCTAAGAGGTTGTTTAGATACCATCAAGATATAGTATGTCCCTCAATGGACTTTTCCAAGAGATGATGAAGTCGGAGGTGACTGCCAACCAATGGTTAAAATATAGCTGACTTGTTTGTAAAAGATGCAGGCTCTAGGGTTACCTAGTGAGGCATTGGCCCAGAGCTAGTGTTGGCGTCTTCAGGGTCGCTGGATGGTAAAAAAGGATTGCCATGAAAGTTCTATAACTGGTCGGTTGGCAACTTATGAGCTACAGAGTCAAATATGGCCCCTGAGATCCCCAAAATGGCCGCACATAATGTTCAATATATGTAATACTTGAGAAGATTGTCAGAAACTGCAGACCTAATAGAGGAAATGATGGTCAGAGAGTGTGGACATGCTACATTATTGGCTGCAGAAGACAATATGAATCTGGAAATGTTACATGAGGCTAGCAGAGATCAATGCTATTACCCTAATCAATGTTTCACTACAGACTACTGAGGTCAAGGGCCACACATCCTATACTAAAGGACCACATGCAGGGCACCTAATGGGACATCTATCTAGACATGCTCGGTTTGTTTTGTTCCGAATCGAAATTCAGGCGAAATTTTTGATATGCAGAGATTCGGATGTATCTGAATTTCCTGAATTACAACAGTAATGCGTTCAAACAAATCCGAAATAACGGAACAAAATTTTTTTAATGAAATGTGAAAACTGAATTTGAAAACAAATTCGAAATATAAACATATTGCTGACTATTGCTGATTTCTGTCAAAAACTATGTGTATTAGTGTTAGAATATAGCTGTCTTCTGAAATTCAAATTTTTAAAAGAATAGAATAAAACAGAATAGAAAATAATACAAAAGAAAGAGTAAAACAGAACAGAATAGAATAGAAAAGAATAGAAGAGCTAAAAGTAGAATAGATTAGAATAAAATAGGAAGTATATAGCCATCTTCAGAAATTAGAATTTAGAAAAGAATAGAATAAAACAGAATAGAAAAGAACAGTGTAAAACAGAACAGAATAGAGTAAAACCGAACAGAACAGAATAGAAAATAAAAGAATAGATTAAAATAGAATAGAAAAGACTAGAATATAAAATCAAAGAATAGAAAAGAATAGAGTAACACAGAATAGAATAGAAAATAAATGAATAGAATAAAATAGAATAGAACATAAAGGACTAGAATAGAAAAGAATAGAATAGAAAATTAAAAAAATAGAATCAAATAAAATAGAAAATAAAAGAATAGAAAATAAAAGAATAAAATACAAAAGAATAGGGTAAAACAGAACAGAATAAAAAAGAAAAGAATAGAATCAAATAGAAAATAATAGAACAGAAAAAAATAGATTCAATTAGAATAGAATAAAATAGAAAGAATAAATTTGTCTTTTGACATTTGAATTTTGAAAATAATAGAATTAAATAAAGTTGAATAGAATAGAAAAGCATAGAGCGAAACAGAACATAATAGAATAGAATTAAAAAAAGAATAGAATAAAATAGAATAGAAAATAAAGGAATGGAACAGAAAAGAATAGAAGAGAATAGAATAGAAACAATAACAATAGAATAGAAAAAAAATAGAATAGATAAGAATAGAATAAAATAAAATAGAAAGAATATAACTATCTTCCGAAATTTAAATTTAGAATAGGATAGAACCAGTTATTCTTCATAATGACTTTGGGATCAATTCAATATTTTTGATTCGACTTTGATTCAATTTGAATTTAATTAGAATACTTCTAATCCATTGGAAAAATTTGAATACGGTCGAAAACTAATGAACGAAACAAAATTAATTTTGTTATGAATTCAACTAAATGAAATTAGTAACTTAACGAATCGATCCGAAACTAAACAAATTTCTTAATTCTGCATATGTCTACTTCTCTCTCCAGCTATGTGGTGTCAGTTGCCTCTACTTGGTTTGTATTTCTGTCCCCCGTAATACCTGCAAGACTGCTAAAGAACTTTGTAATGGGGCTGACAAGCTCCAGCCTAGACAAACCTTTGTTTTCAAACGCCTCCTGTGATAGGACACAGAGCACTCTATCAAACTGCCTATGAGTGCACCAAGCTGGCAGATGATTGCAGATTTTCCAGCCCTACAGTTGTTTTCATTTTTTTATGTTTTTTTTTTTTTCATGTTTTTTTTTCCTGCTAAAATCCTCATATGCCTTTGGACTCTTTATATCAATGGTCTTTGAACCACATGACCACACGTTCCTTTCCTTCTCTAGTATACATAGAGCTGCATTTACAGACTGAAAAAAATATCAAACACCTGTAAAAGTGCTGTTTTTTTATGCCCTGTGTGCATGAGGCCTAAAGGAGTTTAAAGTGGTTGTAAACCTCAGATATGAAATATAAACAAAGCATATCCTTCTGTAGTGTGTACATGTCTCAATCCAGAACACTAAGTGTCATTTCTGTCTGCTGCTTCATTCCTCTGCTATCAGCATGAATCACTTCTGAGATGTTTTCCTGACAAGAGAAAAAAAAGGGATGGGGAGGGAGTGCCAGCACGCAGCCTGTGATTGACAGCCTCAACTCTGTTCCTGCCCACATGGAAGAAAAACATATTTCAAATGTATTTTAAAAATATTCTTCTCAAATATATTGACATATATTTGAAATACTACAATTTTGGCCATATTCAATATATTTCCAAATATATTTCAATATATATATATATGCTAAAATGCGTTTTTTATATATTACAAAATATATGAAAAATATTTTTAAAAATATATATATTTAAAATGTATTTTTTTTTTTTAACATATAAATAAGGAATGTTAACATATATTTTTACATATATTTGTAAATGCATTCCGAAAATGTAGAATAAATGTATTTTTAAAGACATACAGTATGTTTGAAAATGTATTTTAAAAATATTTTTCATATTTTGTAATAAAAATGCATTTCAACATACAGTATGTGTATATGTATGTATGTATATATATATATATTTACTTATTGAAATATATTGAATATGGCCAAAATTGTAGTATTTCTAATATATGTCAATATATTTGGGAAGAATATTTTAAAAATATATTTAAAATATATTTTTCTTCCATGTGGGATGTGCTGTGTGAAGGAGGTGTGTCTCTTCCCTCTAATCAGTTACCAGAGCTCTCCTCACTGAGCTCTGGAGTGTGTAATCTCAGCTCTCCCCCCACCGTCTTCTGAGCTTGGCCAGTCACTTCACTGGGTATATGGAAGGGTTTACAACCACTTTAGGTAGGACAGTGATTCTGGTGGCTTCACATTTAAGCACTTTTCGACTGATACCAACAAGGTAGGACTATATGATGGAGCTTATAGGGGGTAGCTGTATCGGTTAAAGAATTTTGAAAATTATGTTTTGTAGCTGTTGTCTTTCAAAACCACACATGAAGGGATGACAATTACCAGTTTAGGTGGTATAGTAGCGGCCAGAAGGCCTCCAGGCTGGTTTGAAGGACCCTGGATTGCCTTTCCTTCTTTTTACTGAGTTGGCAGAGGCATTTCCCTGACTGAGAGTGGTCTGAACCCCCGTATTTTGTGTTACACCTTGATTTCCTGCCTTACGTTGCTTCTGTCTGTTCTTCTGAATAGCCACAAGCCTGTCCGTGGTCTCAGAGTCCTCCATAAGTGGCTGGGCTCTTTCCAGCCTCAACACAGCCTCACGGATGTTGTCCAGGACAATGGGAACCATGCTCACTACGCCACCATAGAAGTTACGTGCTTCATCACAGCTGAGGTGGTTCAAAACATCATGAGGATACCTAGAGACACAACAAATGTATCAATGAAATGCACAGGGCCTCATTTATTAGACTGCCTGGAATAAGTCTTCCAATAAAGGAAGACTCTGACTGCTGTTTGAAAATCAGTATATTCCAGACAAAATTAAAAAGTATACCTGAGTTGCACCAGTAGCAAACAGTCAGCAATGGGCCCCTGTATGATTAACCCCTTCGCTCCAACGCCTCCTGGCCCTTTAAGGGGTTTCTGATGCCGGAAGGCGGGGCAGGGTTTAGGGTCATGTGGCCGCCGTGATTGGCTATCATGGTGGTCACATGATCAGAAAGGTCCCAATCGCAAGGAGAGATCGGGACCTTTCCGCGGGACGCTGACACATGTGCTGGGAGCACGCCGGGCGCATGTATGTTTGCAAATGGTACGCAAATATGCTCGGCGTCAAGGCCCAGCTGCTGAGAGGCCACATATTTGCATGAAGAGGTTAAAATGTTTGAACCCCCTAATTCAATTAGAGGGAACAGTGTAGAACAGGGGTAGGCAACCTCTGAGAGGTGGAACTCTACCTGAACAACATGATAGAGATCCAAGATCACCGAGGTTCGGAGCCCCTTTATTTTTTTTAGGGAAATTAACTAGCAAGGCATAACTAATTAACAAGGAAAATGTAGAAAAATATAATAAAACAAACGTCACTGTAAAAATAGAAACTTAGCCTACCTCAAAAGTGGACAGAGTCAGTCTGTAGGGCAATGGATGGTGTCCGTCAGTAGGGCAATGGACGGTGTCAGTAGGGCAGCCTCAGTAGGGCAGAGGATGGTGTCAGTAGTTATTTATTTTTTACAATTTTATTTTCTGTTTTCTGTTTTTTGGCTTTGGTGATGCCTCAGTTGTGAGACAGCGAAAGGGAGCAAGGACAGAAATTCCCCAATACCTTTCTCTGCGGTCTCAGCTGCATGGGACATGGAATAAATGGGAAGTGCTCTGTGCTGAGCAGTTTCCCATTCATTCACAAACTGAAGAATAGTAAAGACAGTTTACTATGCTACATTGGAGACTGGAGAGGAGGGATGCCGGCAGCGTTGCTGAGATGGGGGAGGGGGACACGGGGGAGACCAGGGCAGCAGAAAGAAAGGAAAGGAGGGGAGGCATTTACTAGAACTGATTGGCTGTATTTTCCTCCTGCAGCTGCTGAATGTGGTAAGGGAGAGGAGGAGAAGCTGGCTTTCAGTGGCTGCAGGAGGAAAATACAGCCAATTGAGTCTAGTAATTGCCACTCCCAGGACTCTCCTCTCCAGGTATGACAGGGAGGCCACAGGCACCCCCTGGAGCATGGGGATGGCAGCGCCCAGGGCACATGCCCCCTCCTCCCCCCGATAATGACAAATGTCCCCCTAGTAACAAATGATATGCCTTCTCTCCCCTGATGTAAAAACAGAGCCCCCAGGCAATGACTGATTTCCCCCCCCTGTTGGTCCTAGTAATTTTTGGGGAATTTTCTGTCAGTGTCAGCAGTGTTGTGCGGAGCGGTGGGGGTCAGTCTGTGTCTGTTCCTGGCTGTCAGTGTTGTGAGGTAAGTAAGGTGGAGGGTACAGAGGGTCTCCGTTAGGTGGCACAGACCCAAACAGCTTCTTTCCTCCCCAGTGAAAGTGGTTTCAGCTACCAGGCAGTGCTCTCCTCCTCCTGCCTCGTTCAGCCCTGTGATGGTTCGATGTCCATTCCGCCCGGTTGTCAGCACCAACACTTCCTCCAGTGTCCTGAACTGCTCTCACCCTGTCCTCCTCTCTGCCCCATTCAGGAAATAGCGCACAAAAGCTCAAAACTTCTCCCCAGCCAATGAGAGTGGAGGGGTGTGAAACTTAAGGCAAAGTGGAAGCTGAGTAGTGGAGGAAGCATTCCACCACTTGGCTGCAGGACAGAAGATGCAGGGACACTGCAGGATCCAAGATGGGCTCCGAGATTTTGCATGAGGAGTAGGCTTAAATGACAGGGAGGCCGCACGGGCCCCCTAGAGCATGGGCGAGCCCTGATGCTATACCCATGCCTGCAGCTTCATTGGGAGAAGTAGCTCAGTGCAAGAGCAAGTCTACCCCTCCTCTCCACCCTCCCAGCTCTCTCCACCCCCCACTCCATCTGCCAGGCTCTCTCCTTCCCCACTCCACCCCCTCCACTGCCAAGCCATTTGCCATTTTCTCTCCTTCCCCACTCCACCCGCACAGCTCTCTCCACCCCCACTCCATCTGCCAAGCTCTCTCCTTCCCCACGGCACCCGCCCAGCTCTCTCCACCCGCCCAGCTCTCTCGACCCCCACTCCATTTCCCAGGCTCTCTCCTTCCCCACTCCACCCGCTCAACTCTCTCCACCCCCACTCCACCTGCCCAGCTCTCTCCCACCCCCACTCCATCAGCCAGGCTCTCTTCTTTCCCACTCCACCCACCGAGCTCTCTCCGCCCCACTCCATCTGCCAGGCATTCTCCTTCCCCACTACACCAGCCCAGCTCTCTCCACCCCCACTCTGTCTGCCAGGCTCTCTCCTTCCCCACTCCACCTGCCCAGCTCTCTCCACCCCCACTCTGTCTGCCGGGCTCTCTCCTTCCCCACTCCACCTGCCCAGCTCTCTCCACCTCCACTCCATCTGCTAGGCTCTCTCCTTCCCCACTCCACCTGCCCAGCTCTCTCCACTCCCACTCCATTTGCCAGGCTCTCTCCTTCCCCATTCCACCTGCCCAGCTTTCTCCACCCCCACTTCATCTGCCAGGCTCTTTTCTTCCCCGCTCCATCCACCCAGCTCTCTCCACCCCCACTCCATTTGCCAGGCTCTCTACTTCACCTGCCCAGCTTTCTCCACCCCCACTCCATCTGCTAGGCTCTTTCCTTCCCCATTCCACCCACCCAGCTCTCTCCACCCACCCAGCTCTCTCTCCACCCCCACTCCATCTGCCAGGCTCTCTCCTTCCTCACTTCACCCACCCAGCTCTCTCCACCCCCACTCCATCTGCCAGGCTCTCTCCTTCCTCACTCCACCCGCCCAGTTCTCTCCACCCCCACTCCATCTACCAGGCTCTCTCCTTCCTCAGTCCACCTGCCCAGCTCTCTCCACCCCCCCTCCATCTGCTAGGCTCTCTCCTTCCCTGCACTGGAACTTCTCGCCCTGTTCCACCAAGCTCTCACTCTGACAGTACTGGGGAGGAGCAGATTAGTCTAGGGTTGGAAATACAGAGATGCAATCTACCTGTCACCTGGCTGTGGTTGACTGGTAGATCGCGATCAATGGGTTGCCAACCCCACATGTTTTTCACTTTTCCTGGAATAAGCAGTGTCCAGTACTACTGACTGAGACTACAAATGGCCGTATCAATACACATTACCCAGGCATGATCCACTTTGTCACCATCAGGAAAGCCACCCTGAAAAATGCCATGCAGCCATTGTTGGAGTGCATGTAGACATGAAGACAAGATGGCTGTAAAAGTGACTGCAGGAGATCAACAGCATTAAGACAGAACAAAGTATGCAAAAAGGTTAAAAAATACTGCAGTTCTGTAGAAAAGGAAAAGCAATTCAGTTAGGGTTTACATATACTATATATTAGGCTGGCATTTCACTTTGCTCACTTACTTGGCTCTCAGACCAGACAGGTCATTGGTTGGATTGAGAAGAGTAATGGTTTGCTCTATGATCCCCTTTGCTGATGTGTCATTCTGCATAGATTCCAGCTGGATACAGAACTCGGCCAGATCCGCACAGACATCCAAAAAGAGAGAGAGATACGCTTATCTGTCCTGTTGTTGCAGTGGCTGTCTAAGTAGTTGCGTACCTGTAAATTCCATTAAGTACAAGCATTACCAACAAGAAACATGGCCACCTATCCCCCTATACTGCTCTTATCACCACCCCATCTGTCGTACAAAGAATGCAAATGGCAGGATTATTTTAAAGGAAAAAAATTTTTTCCACTGCACCCAATTTTCTCAAGGATTGAGCGATTAGGTAAGTCCTTTTAGACCTAAATCCACCAAGGCAGCAAAAAGCAGTGAGGATGCACACATGTAGGTGTCACTATGTTTCCATGAACACTTTTAGCATATCATAGACCTGTGTTCATAAAGAATGGACAGTTGAGCAAGTCCACCATATGTGAACATAGGTGCCTGGCTCCAGCCAACCCCAGAAACAGGTCCCAGCATGAAACAGGATACAACATGGAACTCCAATTGTAATTAACTACCAGCGGCACAGGAATTGGTAATTTTGTTTCAAGTGCAAGTGCATTCTGAGGACATGTCTTGGTAGTTTCCCAGATTTTCTGCCATTGTTGGGGTTCCAGGGTAATGCTGAGATCTAGGGGCGGACTGACCATTTGGAAACTCGGGCACTGCCCGAGGGCCCGGGGTCAGTAGGGGGCCCCATGAGATGCCCCGGTACCTTTTTAATAGGCTTTTTTGAATTTGGGCAAGGACACAGGGGCCCCATGATCCCCTTTTGCTGGGGGCCCCATGAGTTGTCAGTCTGCCCCTGCTGAGATCCCATTCCCATTTCCATTTCTGCATATAATTGTGAAGGGAGCAAGGAGCCTGCAAGAAGCTGTGAATTTAGCAAGCAGATCAAGCCAGGAGACTGCGGGTCCTTATGGCAACACCTTTTAAAAGGGGTCATGATCATCCCTTTATCAGGGTGAGGGATTATAGACTGTACAAAATGTATGACTTGAAAGATGAAAATGAAAAATTTGAGTTCTAGGCAATTTATTCTCTACTTGTAGAGTGTGGAAGCGACTTAAATCCATGAGGTGTCAAGAGGCAACCATGAGGTGTCATGTCGGTGAGCTTAAGATCTATCCAATGGTGAAATGCACAAGGGTTTTCCCATCCTGGCGGGATGCCTGATTGACAAGTGTAATTTTTTTTCTAAGTAAACAGTGCAATAATAAAACAACATAAGCACTCATTGACAATACTTCATACTTAATGAGCCATAAAACAAAATCTGAATGAAATGAAAATGCTTGCATTGACAATATAAACATTAAAGTTGATTTTGCATCAATGAAAGAAGAACAAAAACTGGTACTAGCTATGTACCTGGGCCAGGGTCATCACGGGTCTGATCCTGTCATGGGCACTTTCCCGTGTCCGCTCCAATGCATTAATGAAAGTCTTCTGTTGCTGCTGCAAGAGCTTAATACTCTGCTCCAGTGTCTTAAGGGTCTGTTTGGCTTCATTCATGGTGACTTCCATGTTATTTCACTCTGCAGATATAATTTGTACATAATTAAAGCCCAACTCCAGGAAAAAAATGTATTTTATTTCATGGATAGAGCAGGAAAGGGTTAAAGTTGAACTCCAGGCAGATATAAAAGACACAAATAAATGCAGCTCTGTAATCTTTAAAGGCTAAGTTTGCTTTTTTTTTCTAAAATCCAGCTTCCCTATGTACCAATATACCATTATTGTACCTTGGTTGCAGAAAAATAAAAGCTTTTTTTAATTTTGAGAACAAGGCCTTACCTTGGCACTTGCTGTATTTCTTAAGCCTAGGACACACAATCAGAAAATCGTACGACAAATACCACTTTCAAAGCGATCATATGATAATCTGATCATCAGTACACAGCTTTCGTCTGAAATTATTTGAAGGGACAAGCAAGAAATTTTTTTTCATGCAATACCAGATCGTACGATTTTTGTTTAATCAGTACAGTTTTTGTCTGAAAATGCAATGCAAATACATTATATCACATCCGATTTTTTTATTCTCTCATAGACGAATTTCCATAACTTTAGTACCTTTGGGGCAGCACAGTGGCTAAATGGTTAGCACCTCTGCCTGGCAGTACAAGGGTCCTTGGTTCGAATCCCAGCCACAGCACCTCCTGGTATGGCACCTCCCACCTGGAGTTTGCATGTTCTCCCTGTGCCTGCGTGGGTTTCCTCCGGGTACTCCAGTTTCCTTCCACACTCCAAAGACATGCTGGTAGGTTAATTGGATCCTGTCTAAATTGTCCCTTGTATATGAATGTATGAATGTAAGTTAAGGCCTTTAGATTGTACACCCCTTGAGGGTTAGGGACTGATGTGAATGTACAATATATATGTAAAGCACTGCATAAATTGACGGTGCTCTATAAGTACCTGAAATAATAATAATAATAATACCTTTCAATATGAGACTAGCATGAAAAAAAAACCAGATGGTCATTCGCCGATATTCTCATCACATGTACAGGGCTTAAGAAATCTTCATCATTTGCTGGTATGTAGATTGAGGACAGAGAAGCCAGTAAGACACAGGAAGGAATTTATCAGGTGACCTCATTAAACCCTACACCCTTCACCCAGCAACTATTTTTTCCCAGCATCTCTCCACGCTTGCATTTGCCTGGCTTCCCCTGTGTCCCTTCAGATGGGCTCAGACTGCATGCTAAACTCCCTGGGACTGCATGCAGCTCATGGGACACCCCTGATGTAGTGCAAGGGCCTGCCTGATTGGATAGATGCTGTGTCCTCCTATTATATTGTTTTGGTAAATCTACAATCAGATTGTACAGTGTATGTTCATATGTATACACCTACACCTAAAATTACCTAGTTGCGCTTTCAGTGTGATTAACAACACACCAAACACAGAAGCAAATGCACATTTTGCCACATAAAGAAAAACGAGTGACAAATGCAGCAGAGTGCACAATAAAAAACATGCACCACGCCGAAATGTCCCATGAGTTACTTTGCCACCTGTAGCGCAGCCCATTGAAATCAACAGGCTGCCCTATGTGTGTCACTGGAAAAACGAGCCAAAATATATGCGCTTCCTCTATTCTAGGTGTGAATGGGGCCGGAAAGTGAAATTGGTGCATTTACACAGAACAATGAGGCTCCATTCACATCTGGGATGTACTACAGGAGATAATCAGAGACTGCAGATGTCTACTACAGTAGATGACCAGAGACTGCGGATGTACTACGGGAGATGACCAGAGACTGCGGATGTACTATGGGAGATGACCAGAGACTGCGGATGTACTACGGGAGATGACCAGAGACTGCGGATGTACTACAGGAGAGAATCAGAGACTGTGGATGTACTACAGGAGATGACCAGAGACTGAGGATGTACTACAGGAGATGACCAGAGACTGCGGATGTACTGCAGGAGAGAATCAGAGACTGTGGATGTACTACAGGAGATGACCAGAGACTGCGGATGTACTACGGGAGATGACCAGAGACTGCGGATGTACTATGGGAGATGACCAGAGACTGCGGATGTACTACGGGAGATGACCAGAGACTGCGGATGTACTACAGGAGAGAATCAGAGACTGTGGATGTACTACAGGAGATGACCAGAGACTGCGGATGTACTACAGAAGATGACCAGAGACTGCGGATGTACTACAGGAGAGAATCAGAGACTGTGGATGTACTACAGGAGATGACCAGAGACTGCGGATGTACTACAGGAGATGACCAGAGACTGCGGATGTACTACAGGAGAGAATCAGAGACTGTGGATGTACTACAGGAGAGAATCAGAGACTGTGGGTGTACTACGGGAGATGACCAGAGACTGTGGATGTACTACAGGAGATGATCAGAGACTGCGGATGTACTACAGGAGATGATCAGAGACTGTGGATGTACTACAGGAGATGACCAGAGACTGCAGACATAGTAAAGGAGATGACCAGAGACTGCAGACATAGTATAGGAGTTGACCAGAGACTGCGGATGTACTACAGGAGATGACCAGAGACTGCAGATGTAATACAGGAGATGACCAGAGACTGCAGATGTACTACAGGAGATGACCAGAGACTGCAGATGTACTACAGGAGACAATCAGAGACTGTGGATGTACTACAGGAGATGACCAGAGAGTGCGGATGTACTGCAGGAGATGACCAGAGACTGCGGATGTACTACAGGAGAGATGACCAGAGACTGCAGATGTACTACAGGAGATGACCAGAGACTGCGGATGTAGTAAGGGAGATGACCAGAGACTGCAGACATAGTAAAGGAGATGACCAGAGACTGCAGACATAGGAGATGACCAGAGACTGCGGCTGTACCACAGGAGATGACCAGAGACTGCGGATGTACTACAGGAGATGATCAGAGACTGAGGATGTACTACAGGAGGCAATCAGAGGCTGCGGATGTACTACAGGAGACGACCAGAGAGTGTGGATGTACTACAGGAGATGACCAGAGACTGCGGATGTACTACAGGAGACGATCAGAGACTGCGGATGTACTACAGGAGATAATCAGAGACTGCAGACATATTGCAGGGGATGAACAGAGACCTTTCAGCAATGCACAGATATACAGTTTGTGAAAACAGCTCAGGGTTTGGTATAACAGTCCACAGGCAGTCTATGGGGGGAAGGTGAACCTAAATACATCATTGTGTATTATTAAACACACACACTGCCCCTGCAATACTTCTTATCTATCAGAAGATGTCACACTGGGAGCCATATGAGTGGGAAGACTGAGGGCATCTAGTGACAGAAAAGATGTATTGCAGGAAACAGTGCCAGACAGCTGGGTTTTGTCTTAAAGCCAAACTCTGGACCAAGTTTCTTTTACTAAATTGCTCCTTCAGCAGGATTAAAAAGCAAACAAATAGATCAGCTGCAATGGTCACCTTCAATCAAGCACTGTCCTTCACAATACTTATTTTCTGTCACAAGATGTCCTCACTCATCTGGGATTGCATGATGCCCAGGACGTCATCATGGTGCCCTTTCCTCCTAGGGGGAGATTTACTAAAACTGGTGCACACAGAGTCTGATGTAGCTGTGCATAGTCAGCGATCAGCTGCTAGATTTTATTGTCAAAGCTTAATTGAACAAGCTGAAGTTGGAAACTGATTGGTGAAAATGCACAGCTGCACCAGATTCTGAGTGCTCCAGTTTTAGTAAATCTCCCCCATAGTGCATTGAGACGCTGATGTCAATATGCCAGCATTGATCTCTGCATCACTGAGGACTGGAAGACGACTCTGCAGCATTGCATGACCTGCCTGTAGACCTCTGGAAAGGTGTTGTATAAAGTATATACACTTGTCGGCCTCTTTATTAGGTACACCTTGCTAGTGAAGTGTGTGCACCACTTTTTCATATAATCACTGTGGGTTTTATATTTAATTGAACAGGTGTACCTAATAAAGTGGCCTGTGAGTGTACATCTAACATACACACTGGGGGCACTTCCAGGAGAGCGGAGCCACTCGCATGGGAAGCCCAATGTTGGGCTTTAAGATGCTACTTTTCTGGCTATCTCTGGATTCATTATTCATTAGCCCAGCAAAGTCATGTCCCCTTGTTAGGCAGTTGGGGTTGAGAGTAACATGTTAGACTACAACCATGTGAACTTGCTTAGTTTGGTAGCTCAAATGTGTAATTTTAGGTTATATAAAAAAGAGGCTTGGATATCAAGTATAAAGCACCAGTAAAATATACAGTTATTTTAACCACATGCCGCCCAGCCACTGTATAAATACGGCGGCAGGGCGGCACGGCTGGGCAAAAGCTCGTTTTAAAACGTGTGCTTTGTAAACAGGTAGGGGGCGTGCGCGAGGCGTGCCGCCGCCCTACCTGTCCCGCAGATGTCAGTCGCCGGGTCACAGCCGGTCGTTACCGGCTATGTCCCGGCGATCGGCGGCAATCGCTGACAGAGAGCACAGCTGCAGTAGCTGTGCTTTCTGTCAGTTCCCTGACAGCTCCAGGACACGCTGATTGGGACAGATGAGTTTCTCTCTCCCGATCAGCGGTGTTCCCTGCAGTACACATCCCCGCCCCCTAGTAAAACACTCCCCTCACACAGTTAACCCTTTCCCTGAATAATAAACTTAACCCCTTCCTCCCCAGTGCCATTAGTACAGTGTCAGTGTTTTTTTTTTTTTGCACTGATCACTGTATTGGTGTCACTGGGGATGTCAGTGACCCCAAGTCAGAACCCCCCAATGTCAGAATGTCCGCCGCAGTCCCGCAGTCCTGCCATAAGTCGCTGATCGCCGCCATAAGTCACTGATCACCGCCATAAGTCACTGATCGCCGCCATTATTAGTATAAAAAAAAAACTAAAAATCCCTGTATCTTTCCCGCCATTTGTAAACGCTATAACTTTCACGTAAAGCAATTAATTTACACGTATTGGGTTTTTTTTTTAGCAAAGACATGTCTCAGAATGCATTTTGGCAGAAATTTATGACTAAATTTGATTTT